AAACTAAGGGTTGTAACTGATACTATTTACTGAAGATTGTTTTATGTATTTTTTACTGGCAAAATGTATAGACAAGAGAAAAAAAAATTGTTTTCTAAGATATAGTTGTTCCAATATCGCAACCTTAAATAGTTTTATTCGTATTTACCATAATATTCTCAATTAAATCAAATCAAAAGCATTATACAGTTGCATAAATTTCGTTATCAATATAATTATTTATAATATATGTGGTATTCGTTTGTTTTGTTAATAATATTTTTTTTTAAAAGACAACTCTCGCACTAGGAATAAATCCTGTGTCGCGGGGGACTTTACAAACATACATGAAACGGACACAAAGTACACCCAGACTCAGAACAACAATTTGTGGATCAGTTAGTTTCCTTATATAACTAATAAACAAATGGCAACAACATTGCTTACAAATAACAATGTACTCGAACTTGTCTATATTTGAACCAGCTCGGAGCGAAATAATACACAAGTTGGACACAACAACGTTGTAGGCTGAACATGCAGTTAATGTAACTCTGTAATAAGGGTTACAGGGCCCCTATGCTGCTTTGTTACGTTGCATAATTTTGTTATGCTCACTCTACTGAGAAATCTTGTTACTGAATACATTTTAAAGCAAGTTTGGAATGGAGAGTGCAGTATTAACACTAAGGAAGTAGTTTTGTTTTGTTTGTGGCTGGTTTGATTACTGTTGTTGCTGGTTTTTAGGTTAGAAAATGCAATATGTTTATCCGTTCAAAAAACCAGCATGATAATGTTTATATGATTAAATTTCTTGAGGCAGTTGCGTTTTAATTTTATCAGAGTAATGTCGTGTGGCGCCTGCAGCCATTGTAGCACGATGCAACGCTCACAAAAAACCCTCTATTTGTTTTTTTTTGAGTAAACTGTATACTTTTTCTTATCAATGTCCTAAATATTCCTTACCTCCAGCTAAGGAGTCTATTCTGGTTGCCTGATAGTCAATAAATTTCAAGACTATTTTAGAAAATATCTGCGAGCTCGTTACCTACTAATATATTTTATCCAGCAATTAATATATGTTTCTCACAACACAGAGTACACTCAGATAATAATTGTAATAGTGTAAGCAGGCAAAATGGTCTCCTAACCACTCACCTGGCAAAGAGTAATTTTATCTGACTTCTCGTTACTCTTAGGTAACCCTGTCAAGAGTAACGAAAAGTCTAAGATAATGAATTGGAAACTATCAGTGAGCAAAGGTCATAAGTAACGGTAGCTGCCATTTTGCTATTTTTATATGACTAAATTAGCGCATGTTTTCAAACGGTGTAGATACAATATACTTAGTAAGCATATCGCGCACAAGACATTCGTCGATTTTTTGTATACTAATAATTAGCACGTGAGCACCGGAGCTTGAGTGTGCATGCCAGATGTCGTCTAAAAAATTTGAAGAGCCCCTTTAAGTATTGATGTTCCACTTACATACTTAAAGACAGATTTACGATTTAGCAAAAGAATTAGGTTAGTGTGAAAATCTGCACGTTTCAAGTGGTACTTCCGCAATAATGATTATCTCCAATCAAATTCTTTCCTCTTTACCTCCATCTATAATATGATGACTTGAAAAAGTACCTCATATAAATAGTTATTACTATTCACGCATTGAGCCTATTAAATTACACAAAAACAGATAGAACTTGAATTGAATTTGAAATTTCGCAAATTTAAATGCACTTAAATATATGTCGTGGTATTAGTCGCTGAATAATTGTTTTATTTAATTTTGTAGCCTTGATCCAAGGGGCTCGTAACTATGTGGTAACCGAGTAGGAAAACACATTGCAAAGTTAAGCAATCCTAGCCATGTCAGTCTAGTCTGGAAGACCATTCTTAACACATTGAGACGACCCCTCCGTGCTTCGGAGAGCTCGTTAATCCCGTTTGCCGCACGAACCTCTGTGTGTGTGGGTAGTTGGAGCCCTAAAAATTCCGACAACGGTATTTCTACAGAACTTCGATATCTCGCCTACTTGGGTTGTGCAGGTCTGATGGCAGTCGTTCCGCTTAAAAAAATGTAGTTCAGCTGGTATCGTAGTAGACTTAAAACCGACCCGCCTAGTTTGGAAAAAGGCTCGGAAGAAGTAGCGTAATAGTATCCTAGTTAACAATACAGCAATTCCACTGCAGTTGAAGAGAAACAGATGTGTCAAGTGCAAATACCATCTGTACAAGATTATTATGCAATAATCATTTGCACTGTAGTGATCTGTTTTGGTAATATAGTATGGAAATAGAGTTAGTGACTTATTATGTAATAAAAAAATCATGTCAGTACGTTGACAATAAATTATTTGTAAACATGGAATATAAATCATTATACAACATAAATTTAATTGTATGTGTGAAACTAATCTAAATATATTGATACAAATAAAACTTTAGTATAATATATTTAACCCTGTCGCAGACGATACAATAATACAGTGCATGTATGCATGCGCAGTGTGCTAAACGACTTTTTGAAAAAACAAGCCCAAATGACAGACAAACTTATTTAAGTTATTAAACTAAGTTAATGTTCAAAAACACCACAGCGATTATGCACTATTAAATTCCTATTTATTATGCAATTAACTTATTTTTAGATACATAATTTGTATTGAACTTCTCATAAAAATTGGTCCCACGGTGACGGTACACTAATCAATTTAAGTGGCTTATGTCAGATGCAATAATTTTGCTTAGAGCTTAGGGATTAATGAGTATAAATCCTTTTGCAAAAAAATGATTTTTAAATCTATTAAAAAATCTCTAGCATTATTTTATTAGCGTGCTTGTCACAACTGTTTTCCCCGCGTCCCACAGTTCCACTCCACAACTGTTTGCCTTTCGCCACGTGTCGATAGCGATAGACTAGACACAAGCGGTTTAAAGACGCCCATCACTCCACCCGGGTGTTTTGCACGTAATAATAGGATAATGCTGATGCGCACATGTTACGCGAATGCTAAGCGATAGTGTGGCAAATGCGTTTAAGTTTAAGTGCAAACTATAAAGAGATTGTAGTACGTCAGGCACTTTGTGATAATATGTAGGGTACGTAGCGTGATAAGGTGGTATCAGACAGATATTTTCAACATTATATGAATATAAATATCGATCTCATATTAATATCTTCACACTAATATGAGATATTGATGTGATGCAACATTGGTACTTTATATCCAGTTATGTACGGTTTGATCCCGTAGTGTTTTATGCTTTATGCTGGACTCAGAGACTTAGAAAAGGTACCTATCCAAACCAAATATTTCAATATTATCATTGTGATATAAAGTATAGAATCTGAAAGGGTATTAAGGTTTTATCCTTTTATTAATAATTTTTCTAAAAAATTGTCGGCTGCCGCAGTTTCACATGATGGTGATGTTGATGTTTTTAATCAATACTGGTGTTTGTAAGATATAACGTATCTTTTATATAAAATACGAACCTATATCTTATAATGTAACCCTAATATCTGTGTAAAATGCCATTAAGAGTTCGGTTAGTAAATAAATATTAGTTAGGACTCAATATTATAGCTATTATAGCTATTATTACAGAGTTATGTAACTTTAACTACACCTTATAGCGTTGCTCTCATCAAACGACACAAATTAACCTACTAATTTGTATATTATCTAAGTACCACTCTTCTGATTTGTAAAGCCACACACGTACAACAAAGTTACACATAAGAACAATATCAAAATGTGCACCCGCCGTTGCAGAAGGGTGAACAGAATCATAACACAAAGAAAAAATACGGTTATTTTACACCAGTGCGGTAGATTATATCTTTTATGTTCAAAATCAACAGGAAGCTTTCAAATGGGGCATGTAACCTACACTTATTATAGATGCTGTTTCGCGAGGGTGCATAAATTTTTGAAGCCAAAGGGTTTGTGCAAACAACTCTGTGAAAGTAATTTGGTACTTTTTTCGTAATTGTACGCACGATACGAGGAGAGATGCAGCGGTGGCGAGCGTTCGACCGTTTGCAGAGTTTTAAAAACTTTTAGTTTTATTTCGACGTGAAAACAAAGTAAACACTGGGCAAACGTTCTGGAGTTTTTATAACTTGTAAAATAGATTTGTAATACAAAATTCAACAGAAACGTTGATTGAATAATACACAATAGGTTAAGTCATCAATACGGCTTGTTTCGAGAAGGAATTTGGTTGTAAATTTTTGTTTAAAAATATAGTACCCTACAAGTAGATGTCAGTTATTGTTCGTAATCTTTAGAATTTGCTTTCTTTAACATCAACATTTTTCTTCTATAAACGTATCTTTAAACATTACACAACAACATTTGCTTGGAGAGTCAAGATAACATTGTGGCAATAGTTTTCTATTGTAGAAATGAAACAAAGTATTTGCATAACAGTTTAATAAGTATAGTTTAAAATTTATTAATAACATAATGTAATACATTCCTAATATAGTAAAAATGGTGATGGATTAAGAATACAGAGTTATCCCATTTATCCCATGGGTGTCTTAAGAGCCGACTATGGGAGAAAACTACGCAGCACAACAATAATGTGGTATAGTATGTTATGGCTGTTGATGAAGTAGAGTAATGTGAATTAAAAAAAATACAAATACAATACTTATGTTATCTTTGGGAAAAGCCTACTTACGGTATTAAAGGTCCTATGTCTGGTCCTTTGGTAAGCCGATTATTAAAAATTACTAGAAATTGCCTAAGAACTTCGACCGTTTCTGACATATACCATTTATGTTACCATTTTAACATGATTTTTAACTCTGCAGCATAAATTGTTTTAACAATTTTAGCTTCCTGCTCTTCTCCTACATAAATATTTTCGATATGATATGCTTCCATGTACTATATTTGCCAAAAAAAAAGTACAAAGGATTTTCTTTACAGATTAATATATAAAAGATAGTAGCTCTATTTTCTCTCTATTTTGTATACGTACCATTAAACACAAATCCTACTTACTTATATATCTAGAAATTTCCTTATTTGAGGAGAAGCAAAGCAGCCATTATGTGGTATTTTTTTCAATTTACTAATGTAGTTAGATGGCAATTTACATTCGATGGCTCCTTTGATCAAACAGTTTAAGTAACTAACAGACGGTCGCCTTTTTTCAGGAAGATGTTCAAATGTGAAGCGTATGTTCCTTTCTAGTGGAGGCTCGAAAAAGTGTTGATAGGTTCTACATTCAAGGTTTGTTCTATTTGCTATTATATTTACTATTTTTGAAAAGTATTCCTTTATTGCTACTCCCTCTTGCCTAAAATCAAAAAATATTTTATAGGCAAGAAAATATTAGTAAAGGTAAACCAGGTATTTTGTCTAGAAGAATTACTAATACCAGGACTTAGAAGTGGAGTTTATTTTTGGAAAACCAACAAGCGTATTTCATTGAAGATTTATCACTTAAATAATGTCTTCCTTTAAATAAGAACGTATTTTTTGATAATTATATGTAATTCGTTTTTAAAGTTATTTATTTTTTACACTCGTAGTAGAATTAATTTCTTCTTCTTCGAAGCAAACCGTTCTATGAAGTCACTTGCAAAATTTTATATTCATATTTCAGGTCTTATACATTTATGAGTCGATGAATATTTAAAACATTATTCTAGCCTTACCTATCCAGCGCCGGAAGATCATCATTATGCAGTTTCCAAACAGCTCCCCATACAACCTCGTTTTCCGTTGGGACTATTGTACACACTGCTCCTTTCCAATTTGCGTTATATTTTGCAAAGTCAAATCTGTGATTCTAAAATGCAAGCTTTGTTAGCTGTCCTATTTTTCGATCTGTTATTTTATTTTCATAATAAAATAATAAATAATAATGCCTCGTTTATTTTTCCAGCTGTTCTCATCTCATCAACGGTGTACTCGCGTAGACATAGCCAAGTGGCCAGGATAGTCCATGAGTAACTTGCTCTTAAGTATAACCTTGCGGCTGTGGAGTTACCGTATCCAGATACGTGCCTGACCTAGATCTTGAAAATGTTCATGTAACACTGTACGGGCTTTGCTCTACTATCACTGACAGGACTATTGTTTCCAATAAACCTGATATAGTTGTGAACGATGGTTCAAATCACCATTCCCCACAACGTCCACGTCAACAAATCTAGTAAAGGCTGAAAAGAATACACCACCTGAAAGACCACCTGAAGGACACCTTGGATTTTTTTGTCTGTGCGGAAATTCCCTCGTATACCATACACCGGTGGTTATGTTGGACATGAAACGACCAAAAACCGCACGCCGTCTCGGGTACCAGTAGCTGGGAAACCAGGTGTACCCTAGGAAGCAAATCCCTGGAATCTGTAGATGACTGCCTCGTGTGAGGGAATCATGGTGTTACCATTCTACAACCTAAAGGGCGCGCGCGCTCCACAGCGCGTCTCGCCGCCAACCCGGCCTGCTTCTGCTAGGGTGGCAGATGGCCTCACATGTCACCCAGGTTTGCGCTTATGGAGGACCGAGGTCGTTCTGCGACCTTCGGCGACTCAGTCGCCTGCGGTACTTCGCCCGTTTTCGGGCCTGTTGGACCGAAAGAGTTCTAAATCTCTCCCGGTCCCTCGCTTCATATGGTAGGCATATGGCGTGCCCGGTGCTTGGTTGCCCAAGTCGTGCCGGATACTCCCCACATTATAAACAAATCAGTGGGTAAAGTTGCCACACTAAACTTTCGTTCGTTTTCAGTCACTTAATTTCTAGTACTAAATTAAATATAAATTTCTTACGTTGAGTTGGCCAACTGCGACAAATATTGCAGAGGGATTATTAATAAGTATTCGTTTCTTAAATAAATTACTACCGTATGCAAAGTAGAAAAAATAGTCTCTTGAACGCTGACCCATTTTTTAGTAATTACTCAATTAATCATTCATTTCATTATATTTTTATTTAAATACAAATAAAGCAATGATAAAAATATAGTAAGCAATTTTGATAGCTATTAAAATTTAAACGTCAACGTCAGTATATATTTTTTAATATTGACTCTATTGTTTGAATATCGGTAGTTCTATAATATAATATACGAAAAAAAGTAGGAATATGTTCTTTTCTTGTCTATCCTATAGTGATAAATATCAACGCGTAGCGAAGAATAGCGAAGACTATTTGTCATTTCAGTAAAATGCTTGTGAGTTAATTTAGTTTTAGACTGCTAATATTTATATAAGTTCGCTCCGCCTGCCTCACATCTTCCCCATAAGATAAAAACTGAAAAATCATGATCTTGTAGTGCACTCATAAGGTTTTTAGAAGAAAGTATCAGGGTTTAGTTAGCTCCGTTCATTTAAAACTACTCAAATTAAAATTCCATTTCTTTTAACCAGGTCTTTCAGTTACTATTGTAATTCTCCAAAACGTGTATGAGATGAAAAACCATTATAAACATTGCTACCACTAAAACTGTAGCTTTAATTCACAATTAGCTCCTAATCCCAATCTAATGATGTATGCAACTTCAAGAGATAATACCAAATATCACACTTGTAACCCATATCTTTCTCTGACGCATCCTCATCGCCACATGTTCGGAATTAGTTGATATATATGGCACTCAAATCCAACGATCACAATATACAATGTCAGGGATTATAGAGATTTTACTGGTTAAGTCCTACGCGGTGGTCTGACCCTGTTTTTGCCATGAACATGACATACGGTCGAGTGCGTTTATCACATCTGTCTAAATTTTATTATGCTTTGTAAGCGGTGGGTAATATTTACCATTAATCATTAGGTCTCTGTTTGGTATACAAACACGTTATTTAATTCATAATTTCCTTATTAATAAAATATCAATCAACTTGCTAGTATCTGTAAACCACGAAAAATAAAACAAAACATCATGTCCTATTTTAATAGCAATTACTTATATATTTTAAATCGGTTTATTTGCTTAATGTGAAGTTTACATAAAATGTTATAGGCTTATATGCTTAATTATGTTAAATAAAATAGCTCGCGTGCCAACAAATTCAACAATACTTTGTATTTTAAGCGAGTTTAAAATTTAGGGATGAAACTAGACACCACACGAATACTTTTATTAACCGCTGACAGTCACCCCTTCGTTCGGTTAATACTGGTCTCATGTTCATTCATGATTTAGGGGCTTGTATTGTTAACAGTAAAATTAGTATCGAAAGGTGTGACATAGTACTTGATGGTTATTCATGCGCACGTAATGGAACCAGTTCCTGTTATGATTTCATGGGGTTTGAGTATGCAATTTTTTAAACCGCGTACACAGCATGCTCTGTTGAAAAAATAAATTGTGAACACTAAGATTTGTTGAATATCGAACCCACTATAAATAAAGTAATAATTTTGAGACTTACACTATGGAATATTATACTACTTTACGGGTAAATAATGTCAATATAATTTACATATCTTAGATACCTAATTAGTATGACTTTAAATCTATTCAATGTGTATGTTTTATTTATAATTGAAAGGAATCAGGTGAAAATAAAACAAATTAGGAATATTAATGTAAAATTAATAGGTAATTCATTCAGCTATTTAGTTGTCATAGCGATAAATGATCAGAATACCTAAATAAAATATGCCATAGTACCTAGGGTATCTTAGTTACCTTCCATCTGAAAAAAGTTCGCCACCTGAAAGATAAAAATTTTACGGCGACCTTAAGAGAGAAAAGAAGCAAATTTTTATGTTCGTTATTTCTGAAAATCGAAATATCAGAATACATTGGAAACAAGTCACTGACAGTCCAGTTTTTATGGGTTAGTTTGTCTTAAATAGAGCGGTAGCTTTCTTGGAAGACCATAATATTCGCATCGCATCTCGAAAGAATCAATTTTCTTTTGTTCCGATTGTCCAAGACTCCGAGTCACCGAGAGTTAGCCGCTATTAATTATAAAGAATAAGCACTATGTGACTTGAATGAGGAGCCCTGAGGTGAGACAACGAGGTTATCCTCGTAGACTTAAGAGTCTGGTAAGACCATGGATTGACTGTTTTAATAAATATCGATAAGTTAATAAGTAAGAGTCACAATTTGTTGCTGCCCTTTGAGTCCCTGTATCAAAGATAAGTAAGTAGGTTTATAGCCATCCGATTCATTTACTGCTCAGCGATATAAACATAAATATAACGACAGAGAAATAAAACCAATGTGACGAACTGCTTACACTATTAGCAAAGATATTAATATGCAACGCGTTTACGAATTGCTCACTTAAACGCCAGTTAACAAACATCTCATAACACTTGGCGTAACGAGAGTTTTGCATGGATAATTTGTTTAAACACAGTTTACAAGTTTAATCGTAGGTCACATACTGGGACGGACGCCACCTCAGCACTTTTCTTTATTACACGAAAAATTATAGACTCAGTTGTGATTCGTTCTAGACTGCTAGTGCGCGCCACGAAAAATGTATTTATGAAATATATAGGCTTTTACTACTTCTCAATTAAAGTGTAAATGTTTAATAAGAGATATCAAGAAGTTTTTGCCTTTATACACGTATTTTATTTATTAAAAAAAATGCCTTGACAGCCTCGGAGTTTCTCTGTATGACCAAATTTGGCCGAAATGTGAGCCGGAGTACTGCCAAATTTAAATAGCAGTGTGTAGAAATGAGAGGTATGTATGTACCCCACAAGGTGTCCAACGTCCTGGTGACGATCGTGGGAAGCCGTTAGATGCGGGCAGCACAGGACCAGTTGTCGTGGCGAACCTTGGGGTATGCCTATGTGCAGCAGTAGTCTTCTTTCGCCTGAGATGATGATAATGAAGCCATCATGAAAATTTACATAAAACTAAGTCCCTACTATTGAAATTCTATTAGAAGCCTATTAGAAGTTCCAGATTTCAAAGTGCCAATCCATTTGTGTCCAACATACAAAACTGACAATATCAGTTCGACTACTTCACCTTTGTCAACCGATTCTAAGCGCTAATGAAAATCGGTTTGCCCGTTTTCTGCATATAAATAGGCAATTTACTGAAATGGTTGCATGCTTTCTAACTAATACGAAATATTGTCACGAGTTTCTGATTTACCAACTTCAACTTTATTTTCATAGTTATAAGGTTGTGCTTAACTGAAATCTACAACACATTGATGTGTTCAATACTTAATGATTATGCTAATACTGAAGCTCTAAGAGCATTTTCGATACACTTTCTGAGTACAATCAACATATCGCTTTAACCTTATGTAATCAACATACTCGTACAGCAAAAATTAAATTTAACATAACGTAGCGAAGAAAAGTGAAATGACGTAGGAAAATTGTAAAACATTACCTGCTTTGTAGTCATAATAACAAAAGGTTTTGATAGTTCATCATAGCTTAGATGATAGCATGTGAGATAATAAAAATATTTGAAATGAAAATATTTGAATCTACCAATCTACCTTTAAATCTCATGAAAGATAGATTAATCGACGGGTTAATCAGAAAGGTAAATGAATTCAATCTTCCATACTATGCTCGTTAAAACTTCAAAGTTAACGGATAGCTTAGTCTCATACCCATTTTAGGCAGGATAGACGCTTTATATTTTTACACGCTTTATATTAGCTTCACTTGTATGTTTGTTTGTATGTTTGTAACCGACTCCTTTGGGTCCTTTTGACTGACTTTAAACGGTCAGAATTCGTTCAAACTTTGTAGATATATCGAGGACCGATGACAATACACTAATTAAAAAATAATTTAAAAAATGTATAGTTTTAAAATGTAAAAAAACACGCTTTCTATAGAAACCCAAACTAAAAAAGAGAAAATAAATTTAAAAAAAATTAAAAGCGTTGGGTGCCTGTTGTCAATAGTAAAAAGCACCCCACGCTTTTTTTTTTAAACTAACTTTTTCTATTTTTAAATCCATAATGTGATGTGAAGTTATCAAAGCCAGTTACAAAAACGTTCATAGAATTATAACATTTTATCTTGCAAAATTAAATCATATTAAACTAGCCTTTTAACATTCTATCTCAACTAAAATTTACCCTTAATATTGAGCAAAAAGTTCTAATATTTGCTTTGAAATTTCATACATAGAACATATTATGCTCAGGCTACTAGCAAAACTTGCAGAAAATGTGGAATAATATAGATTGGGACTAATCCCACCCACACGCCCACCACTGTAACTCCTGTACACCAGGATCCACAGCAGTGACCCACGAACACACCGAGTTATGACACTCGGGAAGTCCCAGGAAGAAATTAAACTGTCTTGGAACCCGCAACGAAATTAATCAGAAGAAAATTGGAGGAGTTGGAAATACAGTAAATCCACTTCCCTCCTTAGCAAAGCGGGAGACAAAATGAAGTGAAATAGGCATACACCCTTTTAAACAGGGAAGCACCACGGCCACAAAATATTACGGGTCCTACATGAGCTATATTTGATTTCTATAATATGTATGGCAGAATCGCCTAAACGCACGGAAATTCACCCTAGTTGACACAAGATCCCCATAGTATACCGCCCCAGATGTCACCTGCAAGCTATTCAGCATTATATTACGTTCATTATACCAAAGACTACATTCCCAGAGGATATGATGAGCAGACTGTTCATAATGAGAGTTAGGTGTTGAGCATTGACACAATGGTGACTCGACTAATTTAAATGAATACAACTTGCTCTTAAAGTTACCATGACCCGTAAGAAATTGAGCGACACAGTGATCCACCGCAAGCCATGTCCTCGACAACCGTTCGCGAACAGACGGAAAAAATTGGTAAAGATGGCGCCCCTTGGATGATTCGTCCCAGCGTTGCTGCCATTCGTCTATGAGGTCATTATAGACATCGGACTGCTGTTGAAGCAATCTTGTAATTTTACCGCGATCCCGCG